AAAAAAAAAAAAAAAAAAATTATTTTTTTGGGCTGGGGAGATAGCTCAGTAAAATAAGCACTTGCCTGGCAAGTGCAGGGTACAGGGTTCAATCCCAGGTACTGGGGGAAAAAAAACTGGGGAGGCTGAAGCAGGAGGATCACTTTGAGTTAGAGGCCAGCCTGGGTTACAGTAAAGTGAGTACAAGGCCAGCCTGAACTGCATAGTGAAAGAAACCCTGTCTCAAGACTAAAAGGAAAAAAAAAGGTTGGGTTGAGCCTCAACATAAAAGCTCTAGGTTCAATCTGAGGAAAACCCCATCTCTACCACCACTGCTGAGCATGATGGTGCCAGTTTGTAATCTCAGCACCCAGGAGGCTGAGGCAGGAGGATTACTCTGAGTTGAAGGCCAACCTGAATCACCTGTCTCAAAAAAAAAAAAAAAAAAAAAAAGAGGGCTGGGGAAAAGAAAGGGCCAGCCAGATAGCTCAGAGGACAAAAGCACAGCAACCAGGGTTTGATAGGTGCACTGTGCTGGCCCTACCCCTGGGGCATCCTGAGACTGCGAGTGGATACTGGGCATGGTGGCACAAGCCTGTAATCCCAGCGCTTGGGAGGCTGAAAACAAGAGGATCACTACAAGTCCAATCTACATAGTGAGACCCTGCAGACCCTGTACCAAATACAAAAAAAAAAAAAAAGAAAGAAAGGAAAAAAAAGAGAAGAGACCTATAAACAAAAAAAGGCAGTGGGACCAGCTTTTTTTTTTTTTTTTTTTTTTTCGGAACCGGGGATTGAACTCAAGCCCTTGCACTTGCCAGGGAAGTGCTTATTCCACTGAGCCATCTTCCTTGGGGATTGAACTCAGGCCCTTGTGCTGGCCAAGAAGCGCTTATTCCACTGAGCCATCTCCTCAGCCCCATCTATTATTGTTCTTTTTAAATCTTTTTGAGACAGGGTCTTACTATATAGTTCAGGCTGGCCTTGACCTCGATCTTCCTGCGTCAGCCTCTCCAGTGCTGGGATTACAAGCCTGTGTCACCATGCCTAGCAATTATTCTTATTTTACTACAGAAAAAAGCTGAGACTTAGGTGAAGGAGATGGTGATCTCAGGACAAGGAAGCAGCAAGTGGCCATGAGGGTGGGAGCGGGGCTCTTGTTCTACAGCCCATAAGTTTTGTCTCCATTCTCCAAGGCCGCCCACCCAAGGGCTCTGCTTCTGGGAGTCATGGTCCTCTGGCCTCCTACAAGTGTTTGGGGTAGACTTGAGGTGCCAGGCAAGACCAGACACAGGGTTTCCAGCCTCCCCACTCAAGGCCCAATCCATGCGGGTCCCTGGGGATGGGGGCCAGATACTCACCTGTCTGCAGGTCAGGCACAGCCAATGTAGCTGTCCCCAGCAGCAACAGCAGCCTCTGGTGCAGTTGTAAGAGAGCCAGCTCCATCGGGGCTCCACTGGGCCCAGGGGTGGGACAGTTCTGTGGAATCTGCAGTCTTCGGTCTTGCCACTGAGGTGTGGGGGTCTGGGCAGCCAGCTGGGACACTGGAGCAAGGGAGGCAAGTCTGCTAGCTCCTCTAGTGTCTTTGCGAAGATGTGTGTATTGCTCCTTTGGACCAGGATTGTGTCTAGAGGTTGCCATGGAGATTTGAGGCCAGGGCTAGAGCCTGGGGAGAGAAGGCAGGGAGGATGCCAGCTCTCCCCTGCCAAACAGGAACCAGGACATTGAGATCCGGTTTAGCCATGGGGCTCCTGGGAGGGGGACTCACCCTGGAAAGCTCCTGCCTTCCTACATAAGCTGGCACCTTAGGGGCCGGGCTAGAAGTGACCCTGGCACAACAACAGCTTCTCTGAGGGCTTGGAGAAACAGCAGGTGCTGGCGGAGCACCAGGCCAGGAGTCTGCTCCATTACTAACAGAGTTCCTGCCACAGGGCCTTTGCAGTTACAGGCCCCTGCCTGGAGTGACTTATGCCATAGCTGTCGTGGCCAGCTGCTTCAGGGTACTGCATCACAGCTCACAGGCAACCATTTCCCAATTACATTTATTTATTTATTTATTTATTTATTTATTTATTTTGCAGTACCAGGGATTGAACTCAGAAGCACAGGGGATTGAACTCAGGCCCCTGTGCTTGCCAGGAAGCACTTATTCTACTGAGCTATCTCCCTAGCCCTGACTACCTTTCAAGCCTATCACTCAATCTCCTCTCCCGCTGGGGAGATGGCTTAGTGGAATAAGCGCTTCCCTGGCAAGTTCAAGGGCCTGAGTTCAATCCCCGACAGGTTCAGAAGTCCAGGAGGGTGGCAGCTCCATTAGCCAGATGTGTGGCTTGCAGCTGTAATCCCCATACTCTGAGGGGTTGAAGCAGGATAATTACAAAGCCAAGCCAAGTCTGGTGCCAGCGTGGTGGTGTACCCCGTAATCCCAGCACTTGGGAGGCTGAGACAGGAGGCCCATTGCCAGTTTGAGACCAGGCTGTGCTACAAATGAGCTCAAGGCCAGCCTGAACTGCATAGCGAGACCCTGTCTCAAGGATTTTTTTTTTTTTTTTTTTAGGGGGGGGCAGGTACTAGGGATTGAACTCAGGACCTGGCTATCTCCCTGGCCCTATTAAACATTGTCTCATAGTTCTTTCTTTTTTCCCCTGTCTCAAAAAAGACCAAAAAAAAAAAAAAAAAGAAAAGAAAAAAGAAAGCCAAGCTCTCTGCACCTCATCCAGTCCCTACAGCAGGTAGCTGCGTCCGCACTGCGGTCGCCCTCCACCCTACCACATTCTCAGGTAGCATATATGATATATATCTAGTTAGTAACTTTCCCTTCACACCAGTTTCAAGTCTGTTTTGGTTTTGGTTTTGTTGTTTTTGGAGACAGGGTCTTGCAACATAGTTCAGGTTGGCTTTGAACCTACCACATGGCCCAGGCTGGCCTCACACTCCTGGCAATCCTCCTGCCTCAGCCTCCTGAGTTCTGGGATTAGAGATTTCTTCTACTACCACGCTCCCCACATTCTAAGGCCCTGTGGTGTATTAACTAACGGTTAACTTGTAACACTTAGCTGAACTGAGTCAGCTTGGTGCTGCGTGTGGAAGGCCCACCTGAGGATTGTTACCAGCAGCATAAAAAGAAAACTGGAGGGGCTGGAGAGATGGCTCAGTGGTCTAAAGCACCTACTTGAAACAAGCTTGGCAAAGCACAGGGACCGCGGTTCGATCCCCCAGCACCACATGCCAGCCAGCCCCGCCCCCTGGTGGGCTGAGCTGGCCACACACACATACAATAAATAAATGTAATAAATAAAAATAAATAAATAATTTAAAAAAAAAAAAAAAGAAAAGAAAACTGGAGTGGGAAGATGGTGTGCTGTTGATTCTTCCAGAGAAGCTTGTTGTGCTTGTTTTCCTGATGAACTCAGCTGTCTCTGAGGATGGCTGTGGTACTCTTTACGTTGAGCATCACTTCCTGGCTCCAGTGTCAATCCCTCAGCCTGCTGGTGTAGACTTTCTAGCCTTCACCTCTGGCCTTTGGGCCTTTGCAGAGCAGATCAGAGCAGATCCTTGATACAGATTTGCATGGGACATTGGGACAGGCTCGAGGCGTTGAGGGCTGGTCATGGGATCCGGACCCTCTGCTGGATTCTTTGGGTCTCTTTCCAATGTGTAGACAGATCTCCCATACTGTTCTGCATTTGACTCTTTGGGTGAATATTACAAAATAATCCTATAAAGTATGTGTCCTGTATTAAGTCATTTTCCCTGCAAACCCTGACTATAAAAGGAACAAACATGAGGTAGGTATAGAGCTGCCACATAACTAATAAGGGGTTTTTTTTTTTTTGCAAAACTGGGGATTGAACTCAGGCCCTTGCGCTTGCCAGAGAAGCACTTATTCTACTGAGCCATCTCCTCAGCCCCACTAATAAGTTAAGAAGCATTCTGGCTTCCCAGAGAAGGGGCGGTCTGGGCTGAAATCTAAGGTCCCTTGAGAACCCCGCCAAGGGAGGAGGCCACTGGTGTTGCAGACGTAAGAAGTGCCACAAACCCTAGAAAGCTGAGGCGAGTCCACCTCTGTCGGCTTTCAGCAAGCCACAGGAGAAAGTACCCCCTTGTGTTCACAGAGGGCTCACATCCCATAGGGGGCAAGAGAGATTGCAGGAGTGGCAGAGGCAGGACTTGAACTCGGTCTGACTTCAAGATCATGTTCTCAAAAAAAAAGGTCATGTTCTCTCCACAGCACCAGGACTAAGTGAGGTTTCTCCATATCGAGTTATGTTGGGAGTCTGCTCTGTTCCTCTGTTATCAATATATTAGCTGAGTTGTTAACACCTGACAATAAAAAAATTGAAGTGAGGGCTGGAGAGATAGTTCAGTAGAATAAGCACTGTGCAAGGTCCTGAGTTCAATCCCTGGTACATTAAAAAAAAAAAAATTGAAGTGAGATCATTTTTACAAAGCTAGAAAAATAAGGTATAATTAGGCAAAAGTAACTTCTCACAAGTCCAACGTGGGAAACTTAGCACGACCCCGTCTCAAAGTTGAAAGAAAAGGTTAGGTGTGGCGGCACACACCTGCAATCCTAGTATTCGGGAGGCTGAGGCAGGAGTATCTCTGAGGGCTCAAGGGCTACACAATGAGTCCAAGGCCAGCATGAAGTACAGAGTGAGAGCTTGCCTCAGAAAGACAAGGGGAAAAAAAAAAAGATAAAAACACAGGTCTACATATTTCCCTAAGCAATAAATGGAAATCTGAGATAATACTGGAATTGGTACCACCCCCCAATTCAGATATACATCAGATACCTGGGTGAGTGACTAGACGATCCCTTCCCCCAAACAGTCCCGCTTTAGATGTCACAGATAAGCCAAAGTTAATGAGGTCAGTCATAGCCTAGCTACCTGCAGCGCTTCCCATTGAAGCAATCTTTTTTTTTTTTTTTTTTGGCGGAACCGGGGATTGAACTCAGATCCTTGCGTTTGCCGGTCAAGCGCTTATCCTACTGAGCCATCTCCCTGGCCCCATTGAAGCAATCTTAGTGAGTGCTGTGCTTGTAATCTTATTGGTTGACTATGGTTTGACCCACGTTATACCTACTGCATGATTTTGCCCTAGAAAACATTCTTGGAGAAATGACCTGAGAGGCAACCCATTTCTGCAACTCTTCCTATCTGTCAGGAACTGTTTCTATGTCCTATTAAACCTAGGCTACTCTTTTTTTTTGGTGGAACTGGGGATTGAACTCAGACCCTTGCGCTTGCCAGGGAAGCCGTCTCCCAGGCCCCTAAACCTTGGATACTCTTAACCTCCTTTGTCCATTAGAATTTATCCTTTGTTTTCAGGGGACACACATACTGGACACATTTGCCAGGCCTGGGCTGGGGAGATGGCTCAGTAGAATAAGCGCTACCCTGACAAGTGCAAGGGCCTGAGTTCAATCCCTGGTTCTGCAAAAAAACAAAACAAAACAAAACCCACATTTGCCAGGCCTGGTGCTGCATACCTGTGATCCTAGCACTTGGGAGGCTGAGGCAGGTGGATCACCTTACCTATATAACGAGTTCAAGGCCAGCCATGATTTCTAAATTACAAAGGGAGCCACTGTTTCAAAAAACCCAAACAGGGGGCTGGTGAGATGGCTCATGGGCTGGTGAGATGGCTCAGTGGTGGGCTGGTGAGATGGCTCAGTGGTCTAAAGCACCTACTTAGAACAAGCTTAGCAAAGCACAGGGACCGCGGTTCAATCCCCCAGCACCACATGCCAGCCCGCCCCGCCCCCTGGTGGGCAGAGCTGGCCACACACACACACACACACACATTTAAAAAAAAAAAAAAACAACCAAACAGGGCCAGCCAGATAGCTGGGCACGCCTTCAATCCCTGGGCAAGGTACCCTGAGACTGGGTGAGGTGGCTGAAAACAGGAGGATCACTATGAGTCTGATCTACGTAGTGAGACCCTGTACTAAAACACATAAACAAACTGCACATCTGATGTGTACTAATTTGGGAGTTGTACTTCTCCCATACCATATCACTGATACCCCTCCCCGTCCCATCAAGCTAAGGAATAAGGAATACACTACCCAGTAAGAAAATGTACTTGGGCTGGGGAGATGGCTCAGTGGAGTAAGCGCTTCCCTGGCAAGCACAAGGACCTGAGTTCAATCCCCGGTTCTGCAAAAAAAAAGAAAGAAAGAAAAAGAAAAGCAAAGGTACTTGGGCCACTGAGGAAGAAAGAACATAATCCCACAGCTGACAAAAATGTGTAATGGGCCCAGCGAGAGAGAAGTAGAATAAACTGTCTAAATTACAAAACAATACCTCAGAACGATGCTACTCACAGCCCAAATAAAGATGGGCAATCATACCCGCTTTGCTCACTGGCAGCATTGAAGCCAATGAATTTATGTGAGCAGTGATTATTGTTGATTGAAAAGTGGATAATGGACTTCAAAAATTATTTATTTATTTATTTATTTATTTATTATTATTATTATTTTAGTGGAACCAGGGATTGAACTCAGGCCCTTGCAAGCACTTATTCTACTGAGCTATCTCCCCGGCCCCTTATTATTATTTTCGGTCTTTTTTGAGACAGCATCTCACTCTGCAGTTCAGGCTGGTCTTGAGCTCACTTTGTAGCCCAGACTGGTCTCAAACTTGCAATGGTCCTCCTGCCTCAGCCTCCCGAGTGCTGGGATTATAAGTGTGCAGTCCCACTCCTGGCCTGAAGTTTAAAAATTTTAACCTAAAGTATAGGGAGAATGAGAATATAATTATTCCACTGAGCCATCTCCTCGGTCCAGAAGAGTCTTGTTACTCTTCTTTCTCTCTTTTGTAGTACTTAGTGTCTTATACTGAGCTACATACCAGTCCTTTTTACATTTTTCATTTTGAAACAGATCACAGTAAATCACTAAATTGCACAGGCTAGGCTCAACCTTTGTGATCCTCCTGCCTCGGCTTCCCAGTGTTGGGATTACAGGCCTGCTCCACCATACCCAGCCTTCATTATCTCTTGTAGAATAAAAAAGCAGAGAAAGATAAAAGGGAAAGTTCTGTAAATATGGAGCAGAACAAGGGGTGAAGGGAAGGGAGTGGGTTGGGAAAGAAATGGAGGAATAAAGATTATGTCACAGCCAGGTATGGTAGTGCGTGCCTATAATCCCAGCATTTGAGAGGCTGAGGCAGGAAGATTGTTTCAAGTTCAACGCCAGCCTGGGCTGCAAAGTGAGACCTTGTCTCAGAAAGACACACACACACACACACACACACACACTCCAGGTGCAGTGGCACATGCCTATAAAACCAGGGCTTGAGGGCAGGCCAGAGATGGCTCAGTAGAATAAGTCTGCCTGGCAAGCACAAGAGCCTGAGTTTAATCCCTGGTTGGGGGGGGAGGGGGACAGCACTTGGGAGGTTGAGGCAGAAGCACAAATCTGAGGCCATCCTAGGGCATAGTGAACCTCTAGCTCAAAAGTAAACAACAACAAAGTAAATTGATAGCCAGGCCTGGCATCACAAGACATTCAGGACGCTGAGGCAGCAAGATGGCCAAGAGTTCAAGGCCAGCCTTTGTTCTAATATAGAAGAGTTCAAGCCCTGGGGCTGGAGAGATAGCTCAGTGGTCTAAAGTGCCTGCTTAGGCAAGCCTAGGCAAAAAACACAGCCCTGCCCCAGGGTAGGCTGGCCACCAAAAAAAAAAAAAAAAAAAAACCAACCAAACCAAACCAAAGCAAAAAAAAAAACACCACAAAAAACAAGGGGCCAGGGCTGGTGAGATGGCTCAGAGGTCTAAAGCACCTACTTAGAACAAGCTTAGCAAAGCACAGGGACTGCGGTTCAATCCCCCAGCACAACATGCCAGCCAGCCCCGCCCCCAGGTGGGCTGAGCTGGCCATACACAAAATAAATAAATAAATAAATAAATAAATAAATAAACAAACAAATTTAAAAACAAACAAACAAAAAAAACAAAACAAAACAACAAAAAACAAAAAACAAGGGGCCAGGGAAATGGCTCAGTGGAATAAGCACTTCCCTGGCAAGCACAAGGGCCTGAGTTCAATCCCTGGTTCCGGGGGAAAAAAAAGCAAGTCTGAACTACATGTTAACTAGATAGACAGAAAGAGCCTGGGGGCTGGGGAGATACCTCAGTGGAATAACTGCTTGCTTAGCAAGCTCAAGGTCCTGAGTTTGATCCCTGGTACCACCAAAAAAAAAAGAAGAAAGAAAAGTTCATAAATCAAGATACCAGAGCTGGGGCTGGTGAGATGGCTCAGTGGTTTAAAGCACCTACTTAAAACAAGCTTAGCAAAGCACAGGGACCGCGGTTCAATACCCCAGCACCACATGCCAGCCAGCCCCGTCCCCAGGTGGGCTGAGCTGGCCACACACACACACATACACACACACACACACACACACACACACACAAACACACTAATAAAATAAATTAAAAAAAAAAAAAAAGATACCAGAGCTGGCTAAATAGCTCAGTGGATTAAAGCACCTGCTAGCAGGCAGATGCAAGGGCTGCAAGTTCTATCCCGGGCCCTGCCATGTCAGCCCCGCTCCCGGGGCACATTGAGGCAGCAAGTGAGATTAAGCATGGTGGTGCACACGCCGGTAATCCTAGCACTTGGGAGGCTATAAACACTTGGGAGGCTATAAACAGGAGGATCACTAGGAGTCTGATCTACCCAGTGAGACCCTATACTAAAATACAAATAAATAAATGAAGATAACACAGTACACTTTTTTTTTTTTTTTTTTTTTTTTTAAGGCAGGGCCTTGCTATGTAGTTCAAGCTGGCCTTGAACTTCCTATGTAATACAGTCTGGCCTAAAATTTGTGGCACTCCGCCTGACTCTGCCTCCCAAGTGCTAGGATTACAGATGTGTGCCTGTGTGCTACGATGACCAGCTATGGTTATTCATCTAGCAAACATTTCCAAAGCACCTAGTACGTGCCAGGCACTGTTGCAGGAGCCAGGGACACAGAAACACAGTCGTGAGGCTCACACTTCTTTTTATTGGTACAATTTAGATAAACATGGGCTGGGGAGATAGCTCATTAGAATAAGCACTTCCCTGGCAAGCACAAGGGCCTGAGTTCAATCCCTGGTTCAGAAAAAAAAAAA